ATCAGGGTAGAATTAGCTTTGTTCTTTTAATGGTGGCTACAGCTTTCTCAATTATTACTTAATTAAAAAATGAGCCTGCATTCGCCAACGTATCTCTAAAGTGGCAGTGTAATCCGCAATCTCCCACCTCCCTATAGGTAAGCAGAGCATCTCGCATTGGTGCTCTATTGATTCTCGGGAAAACTTAACATTCCTCTTGCATCCGTATGTGCCAGGCACATAATCACATCTTCAGTGTTGAGCCTGGCACCATGTGCCGCTGTCGGCCCAACAGCACCTCTAGGGTGCTGCAGTCTTAAGATGTATTAATGCAAATGTAGAAGTGTCAGCAGGCTATATTATTTATGCATACCAATCACTCAAAAGGGTAAAAGGATTCATTTTGGTTCGATGGTTTTGAATAAGAGATCTTTGATTGCAAAGGTTTCTGGAAGAAAATGAATTCTATATAAAGAATTTTTAATTCTTATTTGTCAGACATGTATTTTCTAAATGAAGCCATATAGGGAGCCACTGACCAAAGGACCTCAATTCTGAAGGAAACTGGGCCTCATAAAGTAAATAAAGGGATATCAGCCTTCTCTCTCAGCTCTGTCTGCTTTCCTCATGAGCTCATTGAATTGACAAGTCAAACACTTATAGGCAATAACTAATAAGAAAACAGATCAAATTTCATTTGGCTTGAAAAAGCATATAAATACACTTAGAAGTTGGTCCAGATCTATTTAAGAAATCTAACAATGTATACATTTCTACTACTTTTTGTACCCTCTTTGAAGAATTCTTTTTTGAAGAGTTCCATAAGACAAAAATTCAACCACTGGAAAAATGAAAAGATGCTGATCTGAGATGGGATGGTTACATGAAAAAAAAGATTTGGAAAATTTTCAGAAGCAAGCTGAGGAGAAAACTTTGAGGAGCTCCATCTGATAATTTTTTCTATCATGAATCACTTTACTAGTGACAAAGTGTTTTTTAAAAAAATTCTATGAATTTTACATAATAATGGTGATAGGATCTCTCCCTTTAAAACTTGATGATGAAAATTAAGGACTTGTGGACAGATTCCAGTGAGGGCAGGGAAACCAAGCAAAACTACTTTCAACAAAGGTGCAATGAAGTGCGCGTTCTTTCTTCCCTGCTCCTTCACACCTGCAGTGGTTTATCACGTGACCTACTGCGGCTACAGAAGAGGAAAGCCTTAGAGACTTAGGGAAGATAGAACTGACACACTGTGAGTAAAGACTCACACAGAGGCCTGCCACCCTAACACCTTCACTGGCACAAAATAATCCTAGAATGTTTGCAATACTCATGCAGCTTATTGTACTACTGTTCTTTCCCCAAGATTATTATGTATATGTTGTGGAATAAAGCAGATTAATAATGACTTTGGTGTTGCTTGGACCTAGCAGTATCAGCATGGTGGAAAGGAGAAACAGATGAGTTAAACAACGAAAGACAAGTAAATAAGATTCAAAATGTATGATGGATAATGTGAATTGGGAAGAAACTGTTCAAAAGAAAAGACAAACTGTGACAGGAGAAAAGGGACAGGAAGAATGGGAAAAAGAAAAAATGCATTTATATATAAAATAGTTAAGATAATTATACAGATCTAAGTTCATTGAAAAGGAAGGTTTATACTAATATTGTTTAGATAAGATATCAGGCCTTTATCTTGAATAACTGAATAACTGCTATGAAGACAACAATACTCATTGTATTATTTATTATAACTCTCCTACTAACCTATTTTGAAACTCTCTTTTATTATTATTTTTACTTTTTCTCTTTAAAATAAAAAAAATAAGTAATATTGCAGGACAGAAAAAGGACAAATGATTTAAAGTAAAAACCTGGAAATGCTAGTTTGAATTTAAAGTTTCATTTGGAAATCAATGGTTTTATATTTATAATTATTTAAACTATATTATTTGTGTAACATTATATCACTGAAAGAGAAAAAAAAAAAAAAAAAAAAGACAAGCCCATAGTGGTAAAATTAAGCTCTTTTACCTCCTAAAAGGAGCAGAGATCCTTTGGAAAACACCTGAATTTAGGTCCTGTCTTCTATCACATAGCAACCAAATGCATACTAGGGGTAAGCTTACTCTTCTAAAACCACATCAGCTGATAGATGAGAAAACTGTGATGAAACATCATCATTTTGCAACCATAACAAAAGACTGGATTTGGACAAAGATTTTTTAGTGGTTTTGGACATAGTAAGAGAGAAAACCAGATATTATTCCTGTAGACTTGCTAGACTATCTTAAGGACCTGGCAAAGAATTAAAACTCAGTACAATCAAACCTCAACACAGAAATACTAACATAGAAGAAATACCATGGAAGTGTAATTAGCAGATTTAGATTGCAGGAAGTGCTACAAGACTTGTAACTAGGTTTTTTTAATAGCAGAGTGAAGGAGGAGGAGAAGGGATGGGAGGAGGAAGAGTGGAAGAATAAGAGGTGGAGGAGAAGAGGCAGAAAGGAGGGAGGAAGGGATTGAAAAAGAAGTAGCTCTACAGATTGAGAAATGTAGGAAACAGCAGTTAATTACAACATATGAAATTTATGATAATCTGCATTCAAATGAATTGTTAAAGTATATTAATGAGACAATTGGAGAAATTTGCTAACTGGCTAAGCATCTAATGATGTAAAGGATGCATTGCTGATTTTCATATAGGACAGTGGCATTGCAATTTTTGGTTGTCTTTCAGAGATATATACTAAACTTTTATGAATGAATTATATGATGTCTAAGGTTTGCTTCATGACAATGTTTGGAGAGGCAGGAAGGGTATAGATGAAACAAGACTGAACATGAGTTAATGATTATTTGATCTAAGTAGTAGCTATACAGAGGTTCAGTACACTACTAGTTCTTGTTTTATAAGTTTGACAGTTTGCTTAAGAGAAAAAATTATTTTAAAAATTGTTTGAAATTTGTCAATGAATGTCAGGCACCATGGGAAACCCTTAGACAGTGTGTCTTTAGTACAGCTCAGGTTAAAATATAAATTTAAATTATCATGGGGATATCAGCCTTTGATATTTTATGTTAGTATTTGTCCAGATTCTACTTAAATCATCCATTCTGCCTATTTCTAAAACACCAGCATAGTTATCCTCTGTCTGCTTACAGCACTCAGCAAAGCAAACACCAAGCAATAGACTCAGTGTAAAAAAAAAAAAAAAAAGCAAGAGTGCATCATAAAATCATTTCAGCCTCAAGAAATATACTTATTTTGGTAATTCTACCAATGGAATGATACTTGGAAATTAATTTTACTAAACAAAGTGAAATTGCCAAGTAATTTTCCCACTGTACAAACAGCTTTTCTTATCATGGTCAGTTAAAAAACACTCTCCCAGAGCTGTTCTCACTCAATTTTTGTATAAGCCACACATCTGTGACAGTGTAGTCTCATAGAAAGCTCACAGCAGAGGCCAACACATTAACACATAGAAACAAACATCACACTAAGTTCATCTCTGATACCCCAAATGATTCTAGGGCATGTAGTTATGACTGGAGGATACCCTGAGGGGAAACTCTAATGAAAAATCAAATACATCTAATTAACTGCATTGCTCTGGGCTAGTGAGAGACCAGAGGTTTCCAAAGCCCCTTAAGAATTGTCTTAATATAGAATGGTTGCTACATTAGTGCAGTTTTTTGAAGTACTAGACCTTCCACTCTTTTCAGCCTTATGGCCTTCTCTTTGAACAGCTTATACTACAATGATCCAAATCTAAGAATCCTTGAGATTCTTTTCATGAACTTTCATAGTAAAATGGAACTATAGTATGGCTTTTTCCACCATTCATTGTTTTATGAAGCTGTGAGCTTTGGTCCTCAGAAATAGAAAATGCTAAATTCAAATCAACCAACATTATCAGTAGGAGAATTGGCTTACCAAAGATTTTTAAATAAACACCAGCATTGAAACTGTACCTGAATATACCAGAAACTACTCTTCCTCCTCAAGATGATAATGATATAGTTAAAACTTTACATTTGACGATACTGAGTACATTTTGAGGCAATCAGAATGCTTGAATCATACTTAATTATCACAAATCATTTAAAATTTTAGCCACTGGTTTCAATATCTTCCTTTAGCAATTCTTTACTAGAGCTAATTGTACGTATCAAGAGTGCCTGGCTGGTAATACTGTTCTCTTTACTGGCTATCATTCTAAAGAGGAAAAACAAGGGGGAGAGATGAGGGAGCTCAAAGTGGAGCCAAGAGAGGGAACTGGAGAAAGCAGGGAAGGAGAAAATGAAGCGAGCAGGCCTGAAGAACAGAAAGTAGAATGGTTGATCAGGGAATATTGGAGGAAAACAAATGGATGTAATTAAAAAATGCAAAGTGGTTTTTGGATAATTGAATGAAAGATATTTATGCTTCCTTTCTCTTCAAGAATACAACTGCTAATCATTTTAAGGAATGCATAATTTCAATATGGTATTTTACTTAACATATCAGGTACCAAGTTAGGGTATTCAAGATCACAGCGTCGATTTGTGTGCAAGAAACTTGCCCTCTTATAAGGGAATCAATAGCCTGTTCCGTTTGTAGTGTCAGATTAAAAAATGGTGCCACAATTTCCAGAGGAGTTTAGGTCAGTGCTTTATCCTGAAGTTGCTTAAGATTTCCATGTTTTGAAACAGAAACCCGTAGACTTCCTCTTTCAGCTGAAATCCAATTTAATCAATAGCAAATTGAGCTTCATAAGAAAAGATCTAAAGATATCTTGGAACAGTACCCAGTGTTTCTTGGAGCTTAACACCAATTAAAACGGAGAGAACAGAAGGGAGTGTAGGTGGAATTAATGGGACCTCGCGGCTGGCTCACCAAGTAATCATAGTAGTCAAAAGCATGTACCAATCAGTTTAAAGATAACTCTGTTCATTTGATAGCTGCCCAAAGAGGTCAACAAAGATCTAGCTTGAAAGACAGTAGGGTAGCTTCTGAGAGGACTTACCTATCCTTCCCAGTTTCCTTCTTGAAAATGCCATCACAGTAGCTCATGCGCTTCTCTGTGGTCACATAAATTTGGGCATTTGGATAGACATCAACTGTCTTTTTCAACATGTTGTAAACAATTCCGTTGCCATCCTTCCTCATATTGCGGAAAGGGCCCCAAATGACATAAATAGTAGTGTTTGCTTCCTTGAAGAAATAATCAGGATTTTTTAGCAAAAGAGGAACACTGGTGTGGGATACAACTCGAATCATCGTCATGCGACCAACATCTTCTTCATAACCCTTGGTGGGGGCGTTGTTCATTCTCCAGATGCAGGAAGATCTGTCTATCTCATTCCCCACCTTCTGTCCGACCATCTGGCCTGAGTTTGACACTATGGCACACAGTTCACAGTTCAGTTGTAATGGCTGGAAAACAGAAAGAGAAAGAAGGCAAGTGGTGCATTTCACCCATTCAAACAAACCCTTCTGGAGAACAACACCGTGATATTGCCTAACTGCTGAATATGGAAATATTTCTGAAATAAGTATGCTAATCTGTAGTCTCTGCTATAGGTTATCAAGACAGCACCACGCTTCCATGCAAAAGTAAATATATACCATTAAAAATCATTTAAACTTCTGTATCATCATGTGGCAATAAAATAAATGTGTGAGAAAATAGTCAGTTGTTTGCCATTGTAAGTGGTAATTTTTGTTTTTTTCAATTCTACAATGGGCTTTGTGCTACATTTTCATCCTGAATTTTTATTATGCCTATTGGGGAGTAGCCTATAACTTCAAACAAAATAAAGAGATATGTAAAGATTTGCTCTCAGTAATATGGTGAGCAGCTATAAAAGAAACAGAAAAGAAATGTAGACATCAGTCCCGTATTTTAGTTACACATATTCATGCTTAGCTAAGATGCTGATAAAAAATGTGAAAAGTCCAATAGATGACGAGGTTCTGAAGATTGCCAGAACCCAGAACTGCATAAGTCTGGAAAATATTACACAGATTCTCAACAATTTTACCCAGGTCACCAGGTTAATTGGCTTTTGTGCTTTTAGTCTAGATGGGTGAGGGAAGGTCTCTTTTAATGACTCGGGAAAGGCAGGCACACAGATGGTCGCCACACCGAGTCCAACTCCATTACACTGTATTTATTTATTGTTGGTCATGGAGGTAACAGGGACACCAATCAGTAGAATGTTTGCTTTCAGGACTTGCAAATGATAAAGTCACAGTGGCAAACTGAAATCTACATTTTAAAAGGTGAGCCCTCTGCACTTTCACTCTTCCCTGCCTTCCTCTAAAAATAGTCATATTAGTTACTCTGGCTGCTTTTCTCCCACTTGAAGAAGTCAGCTTTTCGTTCTGAAAATATGTATTACAGTATGCACTTTTCTTCTATGAAGTTCTACATTTTTACCCTGAATTTTTATTATGCCCATTGGAGACTAGCTGCTTTCTCTCTCTTACAGGACTCTATCCTTACTTTACCTAATATGTAACACTTTATTTTTCAATTATGTGTGCTCAGTATATAGTAAATTCTTAAGAATAAGTTTATCTTCATTTTAACCACACTCCCCAGAGATCCCTGGGATACATTAGGTATTCATTTTGTTGAAATTAGGAAATGAAAGAAAGTGAATTAGTTTATTGGGAATCTGAGCACTGAACTTAATACTGAGAAAGAAATGGCCTTAACCAATTAATTTAAGATTCTTGACTTAAATGAAGGAAGAAAAGCAATCCAGAAGAAACATCAGCAGGGTCAGTCTAGGTGGCACAACGCGGGTGGTAAATTGAGAAATGAGGAACACAGAAGACTCACCAGGACAGTACTCAAGACAACTGTCACAGTTTACCTTTGCCATCATGGTAGGTGCCTGTAGTTGTCACTGAGCACCTCCTATGTGACAGGCACAGTCCTAACAGAATTAACTGTGACAAAAATTACAAACAAAATCTCCCACCATACTACAGCAGCATGCCACTTTGGGAAATAAAATAAGTAAGTCGGAAACTTACATAATACGATAATATAGTAAAGGACTATCAGTACTAAGCTGAAAACGTAATCAAGGAAGAAGGTTAGGAAGTGTGTGTGTGCATGTGTGCCTGTGTGCCTCTGTGTGTGTGCATGTGTGCATATTTGTGTAAAGTAGAAGAGCAGGCCTTGGGGATATTTAGGCAAAAGTCAATGCAAACACCCTGAGGGAGACAACAGGAACAGCACTATAACCTGGCAAAGCCAGTGGTGGCAGCAAGTAGCCCCTGAGGCCTGACACTGCAATTGAGGAGCATTCAGGGTTCCGACCTGCGCCACAAGGAGCAGGTGGAGGCTGTAACAGAGGAGAGACTGATCTGAGTTAAATTCCATGGCTTTGACTGCTGTGAGGAAAGCTAGTCAAAAAGAGGCAAGGCTTGAAGGAGGGACAGCTGGGGGCTGCTGCGACACCAGCAAGAGGTGATGCTGGGTGCAGACAAAGTGGTGAGCAGAGAAGGTGGAGAGGAACTGGTTGCACCATGCACCAGTCTGAAAGCAGAGCTGATAGACTGGCCTGTAGATTGAATGCACGGTGTGGAGTGTGAAAGAGGAATCCAAGATAACTCTAGTCTTCTGCGTACTTACGCAGAAGCTTCACATAGCTGAGAAGAAAATGGGGTGTCCCCCAGAGAGGCAGAATTGGGGTAAGAAAAGCAGGGGCTCCTTTCTAGACCAGTTTAAGGTTTTTGTTGTCATTGTTGTGGTCGTTCTTATTTCAGCACACATGTTTGAGAAACGAGGGGACTCCAAGACCTCTGCAGTGAGCTATATCATCAATTTTCTCTTTTTCTTTTGTTGTATTTTTATTTTTTGAGACAGTCTCATTAAGTCTCCAGGAATCCTAGGCTGGGCTCAAACTTATGATCTTCCTGCCTCCCCCTCCTCAGCCTGAGTGCTGAGATTATAGGTATATACCACTGCACCAGGCTGCAGTTGGATTTGACATGACTTACACAGACCTTTGCATCTAGTGTTAGAAGAAAATGACTCAAAGTTGAAGAATTTAAAAGAATAGAAAAAGAAAAGACTAAAAACTTTCCATATTTCTAGCATTCAACAACCATTACAAAATTTCACTGTATTTTTCCTCTTTCTACACAAATTATTTTAGGCACATTGAGAAAGCAGCTCTAAAATATGGCAACATTGGTTTTGCACATTATTTCATGCAATTAGCTTCCTGCATCATTAATATAATCAATGTTCCCTAAGTAGTCCTTAGAGATAGTTTTAATGCCTGTTCCTTATTCCAAGATATAGGTATAGCATTATGCATCTATTTCCCACTATTGTGAATTTAGCCATTATCTATTTTCCCACTCTAAAAATACTTTGATAAATATCCTTTTGCTTCCTGATATATTTTTAGATGTTAGTGATCATCTGCAAATTTAAATTTGTTTCTTTGATTTAATTTAGTCTTTATTGTACTTCTACAAAATATATCAGACAAAGGATGTTAATTTGAGTTGTCAAAATTAAGAATTTCAAAAAACAACACTTGAGGAACTCCCAAAGTTCCACTGAGAAGGTGTTTGAAGGCTCAGTGGTGAAAGGGACCACCACCTTTACTAAGGATTCTAAACCACCGTAAGAAGCAGCTGGTCCAGGTCTCGGCTTAGAGTAGGGCCACTCAAGGTGGGTGAGCATTTTAGGACAGTTGGAAATGGGATTTTATAGTTTAATGCCATAGCGAAGGCAAATGGGGGTCAAGAGGGTACCTTTTTAGGGTCAGGCATTGTTCTCAGACTGTTCCTCACCCATTTAGGATCCTAGATTCTTTTAGGAAATAAGAAGGAACACAGAGTTCTTTCTGCCAGGCTGTTGGTGGCAGGGCCTGACCACATTACACATAGTTGAGTCCTTCAACCTCAGCATCCCACAAATCAAGACCTAGTTTAAATCGTGTGTGTATCAGATCACCCACTCTAACTTATCACCAAGAGTCACCTGGTGGAAAGAGGGTGCATTCCACTGACTGGTGCAGAAAGTTGCTACTTTGGATGATAAAAGCTTGTATGTGGTGGAGTTCACAAATTGAAAAAAAAGAATCAGGACTAGGAAAGATAAAGCCTGTATGTGCTCCTTGCAATGTGACGATTTGCACCGGATTTCCCAGTCATTAGAGAGAATTAGCCAGTTCTGAGGTAACAAGGCTTAATTTAACTAATAAGAGTCAGCACACTGGTCTCAATTGACAACTGTAACCTCTGAAAGTGATCAATTAAGACATCACAATCTGTTTCATGACAACATATTGGGATGCGGCAGCTGTGCAGATTATGAGGTCAGCAGCTGACTAACAACTTCAGGGCAAACGCTGGGAACAGTCTCTTGTTTATGTGACAAATATGTAATGCAGAAGCATGCTATAACTGTGACAGCTTTGGGGGTAGTTGGCAATCTTAATTTGCCCCCTTTTTCTTTTGTTCTCTCGTAGACCGTGCTGTCGTGAAGGCTGGTGTCTCAGAAGACTTCTTATTTGTATATCTGGTCACAACGCTGCCTGGCTATCTGAGTTCCTAAGTGAGACCCCAGGGGATGTGGCTGAATGTGACCACTGCTCAATTTGTCACCTAGCTATGGGCACCATCTTTTAAAAGTATGGCAGAGCACAAGGCCCAATGAATGAAAGATTGCTAATCATAATCGAAAGTTTCAGTTCACGAAGAGTGGGCGAAGGCTCCAGGGATGTATACGTACGTTTGAAGGCATCTTCAAACTTCATAAGCCACGATAAAATGAAAGAAATAGCCAGGCATAAATGGATGGCCTGACCCAAGAGCTGCCTTATCTAGCTATCCTTTATTGTTATACGTTTTGATCTCAACTTTCTTTGTTAAAATAGACTGCTGTTTCTTCAATTCATTTATACGATTCGATTTGGAGGCTTGCTTGAATTATTATTCCATATTTCTTCCCAGGCTTAGATCTGCCTCAGTAAGCAGTTACTCTCTTTTTCCAAAGAACTGGATTCTCCAAACTTTTGTGAAGATTTATCTGATTCTGATTTATCAAGCCCTACTTAATTTTGAATTTTCCTTTTTGGTTGAATTGTCTCTTTTTTCTGCTTTCAAAACACTTTGGTTGGGCTTAGGCATGTCTACAAAGAAAGAAAGAAAACTACAAATATTCAACCAACCTATCTGGACAGCTATGTCCCTGTTAAAGAATGCCTACAAATGTCAAATCTTTCCTTTGATTTCAGATTTAAAATACTAATCTTTTTATGGTTACAGGACTATGTTGTGGGCGTTTTCTCCCCTTCTGTAAAAGTATACACATATTTGGTTATAAACACTTAGCCTGGAGAGTTAAGAGTTTGGTGACATCTATCGAACCAATAAATAATTTTTATTTAGTATCTGTT